TCCTTTCATTTCTTTCCCCACCCAACGAATCTCTCTTCTTTTCTTCGGTCGAACCAATAAAACTTGAATAAACGCGCCTCTCGCCATCCTGAACTCCTCCAAACTCCTGTCTTAAAATCCTACTCGACTCGATCGAACGATCGCTTCCGGCCGAGTTAGCAACTTTATCGATACGTAGGTAGCATCGAACGCGAAAACGCGACATCCGTTATTGAAAAATCAAAAAGAACGGGATAGAATAGCGGTATTATGGTAATTGATCGACCATTCTTGTTACAGCTGGCATCGTGTACCTCCCAACTCGTACCGGGCTACGCTTCGAAAAGGTCTTAACAAACGATAGAATCGAGAAACTTTACCGTCCCGATCTTTTTCTTGCCGATAACGCGAATAACGACCGAGGATATTTCGTACACCGATAACCGAGAAATTCGACGAGAAATCTTATCAACGCGATAATCGAGGACACCTTGCTTTCAACTTCGAAACTCTCGACATCTCGCTACTTCTCGAATTACGTATTTGCGAACGGAAACGTTTCGAGAAAGCGCCGCGTCGCGCGTAATCTCTCCGAGTCTGCTTAATAAGTTTCCTAGGTATTTTCTCCGAAATTCGGGGTTCTTTGACTATCCCGTAGTCGCGTGAAAAAAGTGTCCTTGTCCTGCGGAAGAAACAATCGGAAACGGTTCTTCGCGTCTTCCGCTGGATCTCTCTCGTCGGCCGGTTGACAATGAAAAGTAACAGCTATCAAGAAACTGTCAACGGAAACTAGAGTTACCGGAGCTGTCGAGAAAGTATTCCATGCATTTTCGACAATTTTTAGACGCCGCTCTCTCCTCTTCTATCTTCTCCGGTTCCTGGAAAATCCGCTTCCTCTCTTTCGCAGCCTAGCAGCTCGACGCTCCTCTTTTTCTCCTATTTCTTTCGAAACCGAAAAGTGGACTGCCGCATGCCGTATCGAGCGTTTCCGACTCGCTGGCTCTACTTGCTTCCGGATTCCAATCGTTTTCCGCTTTACGAGAAGGACTGCCGGAACGTTTACGAAGTCGCCAGCTTTCGAGCTAAATTTAGACGATCTCGTCTCTTTTTCCAAATAGATTTCATCCACAAATACACATATATATTTCAAACGACCCGAACCCGTACCAAACTTTCGGATTAGAGATATTTCTTCGTAACGCTCGGAAAAGAAACTGTCCTATTTCGGCTATTTTGGATTTTCCTAATAAGGTGCTTAACGATTCTAGTATCTATATAATATTTCGTCGAGTATTCAGAACTCGAACAGAACTTCGAGAGGTTACGCTGGATGGGTCGTGAATAAACAATTTCAATGCGGGCTTATCCTTCCGATGGTTTTCATCGATTTTAATCGTCTTTTACTTATCGTTTTTCGGCCCCTGGAGTTACCACGAAACAGGGACGATACTCTTGAGATTCCAGGTCGATAAGCTTGCCTGCTTTATTGTTCTGCCATGCGGTGCAGCATATGAATCTGTATCACGAGCGTTCCCTACGGTGGCACAATATTCCTCGCATAAGTTAATACTATACGCATAATTGCATACAGCGCACCATGCACTAACTAGCAGCCGTACAGTCGGAGTCAATAACGAGTGTACAGCTAAATTTCGAATGCAAACATCAATTCTCTGCCGTTTCGATTATAACACTGTAGCCAACTATCGTTAAGAATTGATTACCGAACAACATTTAACGGCACAGTATTAATTAAATCCTCCCGAGCGAACGTTGCGGGATTCGAAGTCTTAGCGAAGAATCTTACTCGAGAATAACTGGCATAACTTGGAAATCATTCAGAGTTCGCGACTAGAGTTAGCGATACGGAGGCAACTGTACGCTAAAGTTGGTTAGTAGATTTTTCGATAAAATATGTACGCGAAAGTGGCACCGAGATGAAAATTCAGAGTTTGCGTTAAAAAAGCTGTTCGTGCTCGTTATTGACGCTTCGATAACGGTATTTATCGAATAAAGGGGCAAAGGCATCAAATTTCTGTCGCATCGATAACGATCGCGTCAACAACAAAAAGATTTCGCTTTGACCGTGTATTACTAACGTTCGTTATAGCGTCGTCGAATTCGATTACGCTACGGTTCGTTTATTCGAGGATGTTCCATCGATCGAGACGCATCGACGTTTCGGTAACGGGATTTCCAAAGCCTCGGCGATGTAATACATGCGCGCGTAAGTAAAAAAGAAAAAAAGAGGAAATCATATCGCTGCAATGCGGTGCGAACCTTTCGATATTTCTCTCTTTTCACCTTCTTCTATAAACGACGTTCACGTTGCCTCTATTTTCTGACTGCTTCTAACCTTCGATAAATCCTTGCTGCCAGGAATTTCCGGTTTCATGCGTCCGTTCTCGAATTGGATACAGCGTTACGCGTTCTATTCGATCGTAAGTTTGCTTAAAGTCCGTCTCGAGGAGAAAATATGTAGGAGGTACGATTCGTCGCATTTTATAGCCGAGAGGGTAAAACATTACCTGTTCAAATTTCGAACGAATCATACACGGCTAATCGTACATTTGCGACAATGCTGGAATTCCTTTGGGATAACGTCGATGTAAAGGTGGGATACCACGCCGCTAGTGCAAACTCCGGTTTGCACTGGACATAATGGTTACCGTCCCTAGAGTACGCTAACCTTCCTAGAAAAATACCGAGAACGCTAATCTTCGCTAGGAGAAGTCGCGCAAAAAAATTAGCTCTTACTTGAAAACTTATTACGATAATAATATCTCTGAATCCGCGTAGTTCGATGTTAACGATTAATAGCGAAATACTTACGGTTTCAGTTTCGAATTCTCTGGATAGCGCTCGATCTTCTACGTGTTCTATGGGATTTTAAAGTCGCGTGTCGCGATAATGTTACGATGTATCTCGTTACTCCGAAAGATTGCTCCATCCCTGTTCAACGTTATCGTAACGCTGTCCTTCAGGTTCGCAGAACTCGGTTCCTTTTAAACTCGAGGACGGAAAGAACCGAGCTGTCTTCAAAGCTGGTTCTTCGCGATCCACGATGAAGATGGATTACAAAAAACACCTGAGCATAGCTCTTTCCGATGAACCGCTACCTTCTACGTTCGCCTTTGTCGAGAGAAGTTGCGGTTACTTCGATATTCTTCTATCGAAACCATTCCTCTGGTTCGTCGTCTCCTCTCGAATACTTTCGAGGAAATGTCTGGATCAAAGATGCACGATTTCATCGTAGAAACGAAGGAACAAGTTGTTCATGATTAATCCGTGGTGAGCACGGAACCGTCGTCCGTTCTGGAAATCGTAAATGTTTGTTCGGTACCGAAGACATAATCAGCGATTTGTATAACGTCGTAAATGAAGTTTCTCCATTCATTCGCAGACACCGAAACTCCGTGGACCGCGTACTGGATCAAGTTCATTTCGTGTTCGCGTCTCGAGTTTCGGATACGCCAAACTGCGAACTCGCCACTAGACTTCCTCTCAAGTTTCCCCATTCTCCGCAACGAATATTGCTCGTTTTAATATCGTATCAACGATACGAATACCACGGTAAAAATTCGCGTTAACGACGATGCGTCTGAACGCGTCGCTCGATTCCGTGCTGGAACAATCGCGTTCATCCTCGGCAGCCTGCTTCGAGTAATTTCTTCGATTACGAATAGAAGCTAATTTTATTTAAAGGGCTCATGCCGGGTAATCGACTAACGCGATTAGCTGCATTACAAGAAAATTTCAGTAGCAATTCGAAGCAACGAATTAACACGAATTAATTCGAGGCATAGAAAATTGAATTTCCTGATTCACAGAATAATAAAATGCGAATTTTATACTGATTCGCAGTATAATAAACGATCGAAACGTTCAATTCGATGTTCGTACGCGTTAGTTGTCTATACATCGGTCATTACACTCTATAACGGCTCATTACTTCGTGTAATTAATCCGCCTATTTTCGGCTCGATTCGTGTACTTTCAATCGACACGAAACGCCAACATTTAATTATGATATTATTTACTTCGACAGCTTATAACATGATAATTGTAATTTCGACAGCGAGTAATAACAATTGTGTTTATCGTTGAAGAAGATAAAGATCAACTGTTGACCCTGCGGTCGAACAACGTAGCGTAAAAACAGAAATTTGAACAACGTGCCACGGTATCGCGAAGTTATCGCGTAGCTACCGTCGAAAAGACAGTTTATCGTGGTCGGCGTAATGAATGGTATATCTCTCGTAAGCTGCGGGAGGGCCAGACTCCGGGATCGGAATTTTCCCTCGATCTTTTTATACCGTATTTCTTTAAGCGATTCTTAAGCAATTTTTTGAACAACCTTAAGCGAGTGCAGGTCGTATAATTCGTTGCAAATGTTCGACAGCGAAAAACAGATATCGGGCTCGAAAAGAATTGGCGAACCGCGGCCAACGGGGTATCCAGCTTTCATTTTAAAACAGAAACCGCCCTATTTCTGACTCGTAGCTCCATTAATTTCGATCAACGCGACGCAATCAATATCGGTTAATTACCGCGCGAAAAAGCCAGCGCTATCGAGCTTGCGGTCTCATTAATCTTGAGTTTGTAGCGAGCGTGGACGCGTATCGCGCGCTTTTTCTCAGTTGTCCGCGGCGGAAGCGCGAATGGAAAAGCACGTTTTCCTCGTCCCTCGGCCCGTTACCCGTTTACCCGCGCGCGCGTCAAGAATCTTCTTCCATCCTTTTCCCGTGGAAACCTCTTCCCGTCGCTCTCCAGGTTTTTCCTCTTTATCCCGCGAACTCGTACGAAGATTATCGAGCTTGCACGAAGCAACGGGGTGGCAAGGGGTGTCGAAGCGACGGCACGGAGTGGGGGCGTGTGGGCACACAGGGAGGTTTGGACGTACGCTCGAGAGGCGAAGAAGCGGGGGCTAACGGGAGTCACGGGGTGAGTTTGGGGCGCAGAATGCTGGCCGTGCGCGAAAGTTCATCGGCAGCATCCAGTGTCATCGCGGAGCTCGACGCGCGTGCTTCGTTCGTCGTGAGGGAGGTATCGACGCCTCCTTCGATCGTCTTCATCGATGTATCGCGTTCCAACGAACCCTCTTAGACCCCGTCTAGTACAATTTCGACCCGTCATCTTCCTTCCCCCGTATCTTTTTTTCGCTCGATTCGACGACTCGAGCGTCGTATTCGCGTGAACGTGATCCTCTAACAACGAATCGGTGACCGTACTTGTTACGTTGGATACGCGATGTACGTATTCGTTGTCCGGTGAAACACCGATTAGCGAGTATATCGCGTCGAATTATCGGTCGTCGATAGTGAGAAAGATCGATGGATGTAGTGCGCGAGACTTCGATCGGAACTCGAGAATTAGTGTGGTACAGAGATGTTTGCACGACGTAAAGGCGAACCAGTTACGAGCAAGTGTGTTCGATGAGCCATCGGGAGACACTGTAACACGTGTTCGCAGAGAAATTTCCTGAGGATTTGATTGATCGGCGACACTGAATGTTCGACTAAACGATGTTGTGAAAATTGTGAAACGAGGTGTGTCGATCGGAGTGATCGTCGCGGCTATTGGAAACAGAAGGATTACTACTCGCGCAAGTAATTAGTTTATTCATTTATTTCGCTACTCTTCTCTTCCTTTGCCTTCGATTTTAGGAACAATAAATTTATCCGTGGTTCGCGTATCGGACCGATCGATTCGAATGTCGAATCATTTAGAGCACGATGAAGGAGAGAGCAGAGATGCGCGATAAGGAGTGGACTGGCCTGCATTCGACGTTAACGCTCGCTTCGGCTCGCGTCGGCCGAGGCAGACTCGTTATTCCTTTCGCTATAGCTTCAGCGAGAAAAAAACGCCAAATTTCAAATTCATTTTATAGCCTTTCTTTATCCAATGCATCGTTTTCATCGAAACATCGAGTTGTGTTCGATACTTTGAATACCGCGATTTAACTTCGATGAAAATTCTAATATTCTAACGACAATATAAAATCGTCAAAAAACCGGATCAATTACGTGTTTCGCCATTCACCGCGGTAAATTTCGATTCGTTTTATTTTTATCGGTAAAAAATCAGGTTATAAGTATTGAAACGATTAATGCGCACTATGGTACAGAAGTAATGAAATTTTCAAAAAAATAATTGCGATGATAAACAACCTGGATTTACAACGCGTTCGAGGCTGACGAACCACCGACTAAAAGACTACGATATAGAGCGATAGAGTTAACAGTTTCGATAATTTAATTTTCTTTCGAAAAGAGTAGTATTTACAGATTCGTTGAATGTTCATCAAAGCTCCGTTATTTATTTATTTATTTGTTTATTGCCGACGCGTTCACGAGCGCGTCACCGATAAAAAGGATAACGCGAATTACGGTTGCTCGTTTTTATTTCTGTTTTGCTGCGCGTCGATCGCGCAGCGAGAGTATTGCTGGTCGATAAAGAAATAATACCCTTTCAATCGAGTGACGCGCGAAGCGACAATCATCGTCGTGCTTGTTCCTCGCTCGTCCTAGCTATCGTACCGGATACCAGCACGAAACGTTTACGCGAGCAGACAGCTTCCGTTTTACCAGGCCGTTTTCCCGAGGAAACCATAACACAATCTTCTAATGACATCGTTACGTAATATGTGTTTCGCCCCGACTCACTGCGTTGCGTCGCTTTGCTTCGCTTTGCTTGTTGCCGCGTGCAACGAACCGTTTAATATCAAAGAAATCACGGTTACGCGGAAAATTCGAATCAATTTATCTCTCGTTTACATCGATTCACCCATCGAACCCTGTTGCCTGTTGCTCCAGAGAATAATATTTCCCTCGATTTCTGACTGCTCTATCGAACAAACGCTTCGAAATCCTATATTGCGTAGGTTCGTTGCGACACGTTTTCTTACAAATAGATTATTTATCCATTGTCGTATGCGATCGGTTAGTATAATCGGTAGATTATATCTACGATAAATTTGCGATCGAAGGAGCCAAGAATTAAAGATAAAATCGTCGGCATTTGATAGAGCATGCTTTCTTTCTGCGTGAACGCCGAGTAAAGATATAGCGCGATATTGCACGCGAATAAGTTTTGCTTTTAAAACGGGGCAATTCTCCTCTCGAGAATGGCTTTACGGTGGCAAAGTTCGAAAATGGAACGGGCTCGATGAACGAAAGTACAAGTAACTGGCTATTCCAAACTTCCGAAATATGCCGCTGTTTTCCTTCGCCTAGCCAAACTTTATTCGGAGAAAAAAAAAATGCAGCTCGTGCTTTCGGTCGTTTGCTTCTTCGTTGATAATCTGATTTTCCGCGAAGCACTGCATTTCCTTTTCCGTTAAAAGGATTTTTCTAACGCTTTTATCGACGTATATGTACGTCCTCGACGTGAACGTCGGAAAACGTTGGCCGGTGATTCAAATGTATCGATGCGTATGCGGTGTCGGTGAAAATATCGACGAATTATTTGACGGTGATTTCGAGCTAACCTGACTCTACCGTAGTAGTACTTAAAAGCCAACGAGATTAAAAATAAATTCGTTAACAGCCTCGTAAATGGATAGGATAACGCGGGGCTTCTTCTTCGTCGGCCCTCGAAAATGAACTTGCCGTAAAAGATGTTGGATTCTCGTCGGACCATCGTCCCTCTTTCACGTCGAGGGATGCGAACCGTTAGGAATGCGAGAGCTCACGGTGAATAGAGGACTCTCTCGTGTTCGAACTCGCTAATGGTGGTTTAACGACTTCGTGAAAAGACTTAGAAGTGACGCCAACTGTTTCCGTACCTGTTCCTCCGAGACTCTCCTACGGGACAATCGTTGTCTCAACTTATTCGAACCTCCCTCGTTAATTGAATACTTGATTATCGACTGACAACTTTCATCAAAATCTTTCCACCGAGTCTTTGCCATTAGTCGATTAAAAACTGTAAATTCTCACCATTCCGTACATTACGGATTCAAATAGTTTTTGACGAACGACGCGATCCATTCGAATCCTGTTCATTTTTCGACGATTTTAACGATTGAAACAGTGTAACTTACTCGTCGATTATCGATCGCTGATGTACCACTATAACGAATTGTTTACTGTAAGAATCCTACCGTAAACGTTTCTCGTTTACTAGACTTTTCAACTTTCGAATAAACGTAAAGTTCAATTTCCCAATGGAACCAATTCATTTTCGACCGACGCACCGAGTTACCGTGAACAGAGTAACACTGGAATAAAAAAATGTCTTAGTAAAATGTTCAATTTCGTTTGATGCTCGTAAAAGATTTCATTCTCTAATGGTTCGGTATCCAAAAATGTGCGATGTTAACGTTCGTTCAAGTTTTCGGACACGTTACAGGCAACGATGTAAATTAAAGAGTATTTTCGGAAGATGGTGACGTTGCTTTTATTGTCATAAAAGAGAGAGACGAGAGTCGAAGAAATTGTAGGGTGCGTGTTTCTCGGGAAAGTTGGAAGTTGGAATCGTAACGCGAACAAAGTGGACAATAAAGTCTCTCCGTTTCGTCGAACATGCATTTTCAGTGGACAGGTCTCGAGTCACGTATCCGGTATACCGTACGATAGTTCGGCACGGAAGCAGAGGGAAGTAAGTTCGTGTGCTCGACGTGTAACAACTCGTCAGAAAGACGACTCTCTTGTACGCTCGTGGTACCAATACGTTGGCGGTAACATTTTTCTACCGTTGCTTCGAGCATTCGGAAAGAGAAAGATTAGAAGAAACTTCGAAAAAGTTCACGGCTACGATAACGTTTATCCGAATGTTCGCCGATAGAAATTGCAAACTGGTCAACATGGTTTCAACGGTAATATGTACATTCGATTAAGCAACTTTCTCGATAGTCTGACACGATTTGATCATGGGAAAGTATCTGCCGAAAAATAACGCTTACAAAATGGCTGACCGCCAGTTGCGTTAAACGATAACCAATTTCGTACGATTTGGTGATGCGAAATCGTTCGTCATTTTCTTTTAATATAATCCGCGTGATTCTCAGAAAATCGTCTCATCGACGTTCGTAATAGGACGCAACAAGACGATTATGTCTGGCAGCCAGCCAGTACTTATTGAAAACGTCGATGTATCAAGAAAAATGTGCATAGTCTTTTAGGAAATTTCAAACTTTCCCTTGATACAGCGTTAATGTTTGTTTCCAAATATTGATTCATAAAATCGATACGTTGAACAACAAATCGCGTACGTTCGTTTAGTTGACTGATATTAATATTTATGCACAGATGTTATACGTGTATGAATATATCGATAATGTAATTTATATTTGATCGGTTATACAATCGGATGTTAATTCGTAATAAATAAATCATAAATGTTGTGTGAGTTAAATGAGAGTAATAATAATAATCATTTATTCGGTGAAAAATATATGGAAACATTAAACTGATCTTAAGAGCGATACTTAAACGCGACAGGAAGCGTATTTTGGTTATGTAAAGGTTTCGAAACGTTGACGTTACTTTGGGAAGCTCGAATAAAATTATTTAAACGAGTAAATTATTCGTGAAGCATGTAAAATCATGAAAACGAAGGAATATTCCCATTCACTTTTGTCGGGTAAAAAGTGAAACAGCCAGCGTTGAATTAGATAAGGGCTGGGAAGAAGTCGGCGAAGGGAAAATCTTCGATTAAATCTTCCAACGTAGAGGATGAGCAGCGGTTGTCGGCTAAACCGACCGTATGAAATTCAATTCGCTATCCTTCCCTTCTTCCTCCTCTTCTTTCTCTCCTTCGGCATCGATTCGAGGCAATTTGATCTTCGCTAAAGTGTTCATAATCGTGCTGCTTATCAACCATTTCGGTCGCATGAAATTTATCACGACCAACTATAACCGATTATGCGTATATTGTGCGCGTAGGCATGTACGAGGCTTAGTAATTCCTGTCTTCATGGTTGATATGCGCGCGTAATTATTGCCATACGAGTATAAAAATTTAATGTATAAAAATGGAGGTTGCGGCAAAGAAACTCGATTGTAATTGTTTTGTATTATTTTATTCGCGTAGGAGAGAGTGTAACTCGAAGGAGAGGACGCGTACGTCGTTAGGATGATTCGAGGGTGAAACTGTCAATGAGGAGACGTTCGTCAGTATGCTGTGGATATTGATCGCGGTGACGTGCATCGAGCTATCGACCTTTGCCAACGCACAGTCGACGAGTGAGCAATGTGAGTACCTTATTTGTATTTATTATTTCGTACAACGCAAACTGATATGTCTTAATTATTTCCAATTAAATAACCCGAATGCGAAAATGATTCGTTGAAGTAATTACAGGCCGATCGTTATCGCTTATTTTTTAATCAACAACGACTCGCCCTGATCGTTGCCTTTAATTAACCCAGCAAAACGTGAAATAATGCAAGAATTTCGGCGAACGTAGGGAAGAGAGCAATTGATTAAAACGGTTGCAGAAACGTTGCGTTCGGTTAAATGATGTTCCGTTTTTGCCTGGTCATGTTGCTCGAACAAAAGGATAACAGAGTAGATAGGTGGAAAATAGAGAAACTACTCGCACAAATTACCGTTGGAAACTTTTTCTCAAATTTATTTGCGCTTCTCCTACACGGTGGCGAGATATCAAAATTAATGTTTAATGGATACGTGGTCCGAAACTGAATTCGGTGGAACTCGTTGCGAAACTTTTTTTCTCCGGTACGAGTCCACCGGTGACACGTTACAAAAGGAAAAGATAAAACGTCGTGAACGTTTCGAGTTGTTGCGTTAAAAGTAATACACGCTCTTTCGACGTTGCAGCCAAGCATTTGATCGCGGTTGTCTAATGACGGCGTTATTGTCAGGAATATCTAGGTTAGATCGCACGATTGTTGGAAGGTCCCTTCGCGAAATAAAGAAACCCGTGGTATTCGCGCCGTGTATCAAAGTCAATTTCCAACATTCTCTGTATCTTCCTGCTCCCCTCGCGTTGGTAGAGAAGTTTCGCTTGTATCGAGTACACGTGCATTGTCCTCGTAACACGTGTTTGGACGGAGCTCGCGTTCCATGCACGCGTCTGCGCCAAAGAAACGTATACGTATACCGGGGTTCCGGGACCCGCAATCCCTAGGTAACGATAGTAAACCCAGGTCGAAGGAGGATCCTTCTGATTTCCATATCGTAATTAATTTCTCATTTAGCCAGTGTACCGTATTAATTGTATGTCCCACGACGACGCTCCAACCATACATATCTAATTAGTTTGCTTTCGTCCGGGACTTATAAAGTGCATGCTCCATAGACCCCGATTAATCCGCGTTAAATCCTCTTTGCAAACTCGAGCGATTCGTCTGTCGCGTCCTTCTTCTTCTTATCGGTCGCTTCCTCTTCGTCCTGTTCGTGCAAATGGTGACCTTTGATCCCGTCTTCGATAGGATTAAGCAACAAAATCGAAGGCTTTCGTAGGGAACAAAGCGAACGAAATTCTACGATCGATGAAAACTTTTCTGTTTCCAATTTCATTCTCTTCGATCGCTACTTCCGATCGATTCTCTATTTCTTCTTTTTTTTCCTCCCCTTTTTTGCCCCTTTTTCTTTTTGAACGGAACATTTTATCGATAGAAGAACGCGGGAGAAAAGTTTCAGCTTGAAACGAGTGAATAGTTGATAATCTGACCACTAGGACTACTGCGACGCAAACGGATATACGGTTGGCTTCCGCTACATCGCCAACATTTGTACTCTTCCAATACCGATTAACCGTCATGCCACGCATGTTTGTAGTTTGAAATTTAAACTTATTCTATCGTCGACTAGTGGAACGAATAGAATCTGATATTATTTGGTAAATTCGTTGAACGTAATCACGTTTATTGAACGAGTTAGCAGCGCTTTGAAAAATGCGATCAACGTCGAATTATCGAGCACGCTACGGATCAAGATGAATACTGTCCGAGCTCGACCGAGATAAACTTTTCGCTTATTCATAATCTTGTTGATCGGCGAGGATCGAACAGGGTTGGTCGTTTTTTAAAAGCAAAGTTTAAGCCAATTAGATGGGACGCTGCTGGCATTAGCAAAATCGGAAAACCGTCTACCTTCGGAGCATCGAGAAATTTCATTGGTTCGTTTCGAAGAACCGATTAAAGCATCTTGGCTCGCATTCTTCGACGCTGGGGCTCGTAATGAATACCCTTTCTACAAGGAAGATGATTTTATTTAATAAGAGGCATCGGCCGCAATAAACGGATCCACGAGTTAAAGGATTCTTCGAGAAAGATAGCCGGGCAGAATTTGTGAAATTTACATCGCTATAACCGAGCCACAAGGTACAGCTTTTCCTCCCGGAACGAGTTTACAAGTTCTCTAAACTATTTTCTTTAGTAGATTCAGCATTTTCTTTGGCCAGACTTGCACTTACTGCGGGGCAACCACCTTTCCACGATTATTGGATTCCAGTTCTCGCAAACGAGTCAGGACTGACGCGTACATTCGAAACACGAACTCCGCAGCTAGCGTAAAATCGATTCGCGCTTAGTATATTTTCGCGTCTCGCGAATGTCGCCAAAAGAATTGTTTCGTTCGAAACTCGACTAATTAGAAAATGTTTCAACACAATTTATCTTATTAACGATATTAGCGATATATCGTTATATATCGTAGAGCGATCGTGCGAATGGAAAAAGCAGTCCAGCGTGAAAATTCTGACGACGAACTTCTAAAGGTCCTACGCGAAAGAGGAGAAGATTTTGTCGGTGTTATATTTTGAAAAGGGGAAACGATGGGGAAATCCGGTGAAACAGGGGACTTTAAATGTTTTCGTTGAAGGGGGCGAAGGATGCTTCAGTTCGAAGGGAGGAAAATATCGCGAAAAAATTACCGGCCCCTAAGAGAACGCGCAAAGAACGGAAAGAAGAGGGAGATAGTTTAGATAAAAATTCTCCACGTTTGTCACTGATCCTTCGTAATTAAAGGTTTCGAGATTAATGCCGGTAATTTTCCGGCGCCTCGGGCAATCGATTCCCTTTAGGAACGCTTCGATGCCTGTTTCCATGGCCAAGGAAATCGTCCTTCGAATATTCTTTCCTAGCTACGAAACTTCGGGCTCTCTCGCGATCGTGTCAGTGGTCAGGAAATTTATCGTTTTCTCGTTTTTCTTCTCGTATCTTTGCGTAGATTTTACAGCAAGAAATTAAAGTTTTTATCCGAACTGGGACGAGAAACGTCCGGCAAGAGGGGAGATTAATTTGGCGAAAACTCGTTGGAAGTTGAAAGAACGATTCGCAGTTTCGCTTAGGATTCCATGAATTCAGTTAAAACTCTCTGATACAGCTCGATAACGGATTCTCCGTGGAAGTAGCGTAATTTTAATCAAGACGCTCGAAAGAATTCGCTAATTCGTCAGCTTATCGAGAACGATCGGATCGAAGAGTCGTATTATTTCTTAGGAAAATTTTCCGAAGAAAGATATCATATCGAGGATATATTTTCGATCGCGAAATAGAATAGCTTTGATAGTCGAATCGATGCACCGAAGATACCGTTTACACGATGCATTATCTGGCACAGCTTTAAACTACGTAACGAAATTCGTTACATCGCCAACCACGTGCTGGGTTTGGTTATAAGCTGCTTTCAACGACGAGCGTATCTTCTTGCTGGCGCTGCACGGGACGAGGACCCAGCTGGTTACTCGAAACAACGATCAAGCCGCTCTAACGAGTGTTTAAACTAAGCTTGTTAACCATCATGAACGAACAAGAAAGCGTCGATGTAAAACGAGCTGGTGTCGGTGCGTCGAAATCGCACGGTCCGCGACGTTTCGTTCCTTTACAAACGGAAAATATTCTACGTCCGTCGACGAACCGTGTATTAGAGTTTCTCTTTATCGACGGGATTTCTGATTCTTTTTAAATTTCGTTTGAAAGTATTTATCGCAGCATCTTAAGTTTCCGAGAGAAGAAGTTCGTATAGATACTCCTTCGACGGAGAACCGAAATAAAACGATAAATTCTCGAGTCCCGTTAAGACGACGCGACGGAACGAGCAGCAGTTTCCACGCGGCATAGATTTCGACCATGATCCGATCGTTTAACCGACCTCGACACACAGTAATTTCGGATTTTTCGTTTCGAAACAGAATAGAGTATACATGGTAACGTTTGTTCGGTGCACGCTCGAAATCCCGGCTCATCCTTCGTAATTAAAGCATTGACCACGTTGACGGCCGTAAATCAATAGCAGACCCTGTCCCAAGACCTAAATATTACAGAATATAGTCTCCACGCGACACCGTACTTCTACGCGAACATGAAATAATGATCACCTAATTACCTACAACCGGCAAGGGTGTATTGCGAGGATTATACGTCCTCGGAGTCGTTGTAATCCTCCGTGGAATTTGTATGGTATCGAAAACGACGAGAATAACGCGAATAATCCACTCGAAATGCTCGTCCACCGTAAAACCGTGATAAAAGTTGTTGAATGAACGTCACGGTGCGCCGGCGACATTTTTTTTCCATGCTTGATGCTTGTATCGTTGCTGTGGCGCATCGTCGAGAGACATCGACTCTGCCAATTAAAAAGAAAAAAAAAAAATAAACAAAACAAAAAGGAAAGAGAAAATGGAAAAACGAGCGAAGCATTTAAGTTCAAAGCGATGAACGGCCATTGACCTGATTTCTCGGAAAATTTGTTGCGAATTCACCGAGAACGGTGCAACACGACAGAGAGCAATTTTCCGTTTTCCTGTGCTGGCCATGTATTTTCCTCGTTTCGTGGACGGGTTCGATGAAAGGTATTCGAAAGCTTGCCCCGTTAATGCAAGCGTAACTGGGTATTACTGTGATATCGCGAAATCGTCGATCACGCTAAAACGGAATGGAAATTTCGTGGAACGTTCAAACGAGACGATACGGCAAAGACAAGGGGAAATAAAAGAGGAAAGAGAGGAAAGTACGTGCGCGCGTTTGTATTAACTCGTATCGATTTTGCTGCGTCGTCGTTTTCAAGAGACACGCGTTAACAATGTTCCATTAAAGCAATCAGAGGAGAAATATTAAAATTTTCACAATGTTAACATTTTTCGTTTAACTTCATTTCGACGGTTCAAATTTTCCCTTTGCCGCTGGTATTTCTCTTCTGTTTCTGGTAATCGTGACGTTCGTTATTAATTTTTGAAAGCGGTTATTTCTTTTTTCTGTACGCGTAATAAATATTTGTTCGATCG